CCCGAGAAACGCGAGCTCGCCAAGGCAGCGCGCATGCGGTTCACATCGCCTACGTCTGGTGACGGCGACCTGCTGACGGACCTGCGCGCCGTGCTTCAGTGGGACCAGATTGTGCGCGACAGCAACCCCTACGGCAAGGCCAGCAAGGCCTTTTGCGAAGACAATTTCCTGGCCGTGCAGACGCTCATCGACATCTCGTCGACGCGCACGCAGCTCTACCAGTCGCTGGCCGAGCTGGGCATCCGGCGGCCAACCGAAGCCGCTTCGGGCTCAACACCGCCCAACCATTTGCTGCTGCGGGCACTGACCGCCGCCGCGTTCACACCCCAGATCGCCCGCATACAGCTGCCGGACCAAAAGTTTGCCACGAGCGTCTCCGGCACTGTTGCCATTGACCCGGAGGCCCGCACAATTCGCTACTTTTCGCGCGACCACGGCCGTGTTTTTGTGCACCCGAGCAGCACGCTCTTTGACAGCCAGGGCTTTGCCGGCCGCGCTGCCTTCTTGTCGTACTTTTCCCTCATCTCCACCTCCAAGGTGTTTATCCGGGATTTGACACGTGAGTTTTCTGGCGTTTCTTTGCTTTATTCTTTGGTTTTTTTTTTTTTTTTTTTTTCTTTGGTCCCAAAAGTACCTACACTGACATTCCAGCCTTTAATGCATATACATTGCTCATGTTCTCAGGCGAGATCAAGCTCGACACTCTGGGCCGCGGCCTGACTGTCGACGGCTGGCTGAACCTGCGGGGCTGGGCGCGGATCGGCGTTCTGGTGTCACGGCTGCGCAGCATGGTGGACCGACTGATTGCACGACGTCTGGGACTAGGCGCCGATGAGTATGAGGAGGAGGAGAAGAACGCGTCCACGGACGACAAGAGCTCGACGGAGCAGGTCGACCGTGACGTGATCAAGGCCGTCATCAAGCTGATTGAGCTGGACGGCATGGATGCATAGACGGGGGGTTTTATTCTTGTTTTTCTGGTCTCCGTTCTCCCTTCTTGGTCAATCAAACGGCTTTGCATAGGACATAGCTGCCTTCTTTTTCTGCATATACCTTTAGAGACATTTGCTTAGACACAAAAGGCCAGATAGACTACATTGGGCGTTCTACAAATCAAAAAAGTGCTTTCACACAGTTATACAAGCCGGACCAAGCAGATTGGAAGATCTTCTTTAGTTTTTGCAATTCATGTTCGAAAGGACGCAGTGTTTTGTGTTGTGTTGGGGAAAAGGTGTTGGGGGGATGGGGGGATGTTGCTGTGAACAGTTTGTCTGCTCATCAACAAGTTTGTTCGCGACCAAGGACCACCTCTCGCCGCTATGTCGGTCTGTATCTTTGTTATTGTCTGTCGGTGGGACGTCGAAGGGAACCGCAGCCACTTGGCCGGTCGGTTGAGATGCAGTAGCGTCGAGAGGCCTTTTGCAGAAAGTCCGATGGCGTCGGCTTGGCTCGTTGTCGGCCGAGTCGTGTGGTGTGGTAAATGAGGCGACGCCCAAGGGCCCCGACAGAACAACAGGACTGCATGCGCCGCGCCATGCACTGGCAATGGTCAACGGCTCATCCTGCGCCGGGGGCCCCTTTTGTTTGGGGTCCGCCTCAAGCTCTGCCTGGTTCCTCCTCTCAAGTTTGCGTCGGTCGTGCAGTCTGGTCTGCGCGCCGTTCTCGGTTTAGGGTTGGAGCTTTAAAGCTACCATTCAGACCCTGTGAATACATGAAGATCAATTGCTGCCTCTCATCCTGTCCTGGCCCCGCCATATTGTATTATATGGCCGAGGTCCAAGTTCGGTTCACCCCCCTCTCTGGGCAGTCCATTACTACCCTCTGTGGTATATCTCTTCCCCTGTTCTTCCTGTGGGCTGGAGCTTTCAAGCTACCATAGGACCCCATAATGTGTTTGTCCTCTTGTTTTTCTCTCCTTTGTCTTTGTTGTCCCGGACCAGCCAAGTGGCCCCAGTACTTCAAAAAGAACGACGAAAAATAGGAAAGCACATGAGATAAAACGCAAACAAAATGCAATAAAACTCCGGTTCATAGGTGATGTGTCGTGTGGCAGATGCGCAATGAATACTGAGTAATGGATGATGAGTAATGTGTAGATGGTAGAGTCGGTGGTGGTGTGTAGCGTCGCCCTTAGTAGATGTAGATCCGGTGTGGGTGGGACGGGGTGAAGATAGTGTCGGAAAGAGGCGTGAGGCAAATCGAAGTGCGGGCGGCGGGGAACCGGAGGGTGCAAGAACACCGAACACCATGCACAGGACGTGGGACACAGAGTTGTCTAGGAGCTCTTTACATGTCCATGTTGTCCGCGCTGTTGGCGAAGCTGAAGCCACCACCTTCGGCGTTGCCACCGTTGTTCGCCGCACCAAAGCCAAACGTGCCGTTCGCAGCCGGCTGGCCATCCTCGGCACCTTCGTCGTCGTCGGAGAAGTACTTCTCGATGATGTTGTACGCCTTCATGTAGATCTCCTCGTTGGCGTTTGTCTGGCAGTCGTGGATCTTCTCCATGCCACCGCACTCCTCGATGAACAGCGCATAAGTGTTGATAGCGTCGTTGCCCTCGCCCTGGGCCTGGCGGTCGAGCTCGCCGACCTTGAGGATGTTCTCGAGGCCGTCCAGCGCCACCTGGATGATCTTGTTGTCGGGGCACGCCAGCAGGTCGCAGAGCGGCTTGATGCAGCCCTGCGCCACCAGGTAGCGGATCTGCTCGGGCTTCTGGAGGCCGCCAGACGTCGCGTTGCTAATCGCCCAGCATGCCTCCTTGCGCGTCTTCAGGTCGCCGTTCGACAGCAGGTGGATCAGCGGCGGAATGATGTTGGCGTCGATCACGGACTGAATCTGCGCCGAGTTGCCGGCGGTGATGTTGGAGATGGTCCAGCACGCCTCCTTGCGGATGCCGTCTTTGTTTGAGCTGAGCAGCGACAGCAGACACGAGAGAGCGCCGCAGTTGATAATCACTTGCGTCTGCACGTCGTCGCCCGTCACGATGTTGCCGACCGAGCGCAGTGCTGGGGTCTGGACGGAGGTCGACGCGTGCATCAGCAGCTCCACAAGGCGACGCGGGATGCCGGCCTCGATCACAGCCTGGATCTTATCGTTGGAGCCGTCCGAGAGATACGAGATCGCCCAGCAGGCGTCAATCAGCACCTCGTCGTCCAGGCTGTACACGAGCTTGGACAGCACGGGTAGCGCAGGCTGGATGGTGTTCCAGTCGGGCTGGGGGGTCTTGCCACGGCAGAAGTTGCTCAGGGTCCACGTTGCGTTCCGCAGCATGCTCAGCTTGCGGCTGTCGCCAAGCAGGGTCAGCAGAGGTTTGAGGGCGCCGCAGCTGAGGACGTAATCGCGGCACTGCGGGCTGTCGCCGGCAATGTTGCCCAGCGCCCACACGGCCTGTTCGCGGACGTCGGGCTCGGGGCTCGACAGCAGCTCGACAAAGATGGGCACGGCACCAGCCTCAATGACCACCTGGGTCTGCGTTGCAGAGCCGCTGGCAATGTTTGTGAGGGCCCAGGCAGCCTCGAACTGCACCAGGGTGTGTGGCGACCGCAGGAACTCGACAAAACGGGAGACGACGCCGGTCTTGATAACCTCCTCGATGGGCGGGTTGCGCTCTTTGGAGAGCAGTTTCCGGAACTTGGTTGTCGCCTGGATCTGCTGGTCGATCTGATCGGAGAAGACGCCTTGGACCATCTGGGGGAGGTCCTCGTTCAGCTGCAGGGGTGCGTTAGCGGGGTGAACAACAGGAGCGAGAAAGAGAAAGCATCATTGCAACTTCAAACCAAAAAAAGAAAGAAAAAGAAAGAAAACTAGAAACGAAAATCCCAACAGTACAGCCCCTTCTCAAGGGACACATAGTCACGTACCTGAGACTCGGTCGGGGCGGTGTCATCGTCGCTGTCAGGGGCGGCACCCAGCGAAGCACCGGGCCGCGAGTCGCCAGAGCCGATGCCACGGCGCTTGGCCAGGTTCTCCTCACGCTTCGCCTTGCGGATCTCAACCTGCTGCTCTTCGCGGCGGCGACGCAGCTCCTCGGGCTTGAACGTGTTCTTCGCCTTGAACTGCGTACGCCGATGCTCGGGAATGTAGCGCTCGGCCATGGCTGCTGTGTGCTAGTGCTAGTCGTCGGTGATCGATGAGGTCGTCTGGTGGGAGTCGACACGGGTGACGGCGTGTATGAACACGAACGGCGGTCGGCGAGATAAAGAGAGCAGAGGGGATGATGGGAGGCAACAAAATAAGAGAGCGAAGCAGAAGATGAAGCAAAATTAACCCCGCGGCAAAAAATAGGCTGTGAGGACAAGAGTCAGCAACGGCGCGTAAGTCAGGGGGGAGAACGATGGTCCAACAGCAGGGCCAGCAAGGGGAAGGGACGGGGGCAAAGGGGCGAGAGGAGGGGGACATACCTTTTAAAGGTGTGCGGAATCGCGAGATTGAGGGTTGCTTTGGTGATGGAAAACGGAGAAAAATTGGAAGCAAAGAGGAGACTGAGGAGTGGGCACAAAATAGTACGGCAGGCGTCGTTTGATGAGAGCGAGCGGAAACAGCAAAGCCGTATTTTGGTGGAAGGAAGGGGCAACCCGCAGCCCACCTTTTGATGGCCACCACAGGGAAGGTGCCAAAGGAGGTGCACAAAGACTTACCGTATTCGTAGTCAATAGTATGGCACTGTGCTGGTCGGTGTGTGTGCCTGCTGTGCTACAGTGCGGAGACTGCGAACGACGACGGAGGAGATGTGGGGCATTGTAGCGGTGGGGCCCCGGCGGAGTCAGCCAAAATTGCACACTTTCTCTAGCCTCAGGCAGCGACTTGGAGGGGAAAGACCTGGATCTTTTGGCGTGTATGCACGTGACCCCGAGTTAATGACATAAGCTCAACAATACTAGACGCGCCCTAGCACCAAACGACGCGTCTCGTGATATCAACATGGGCCCAATATCAGCGTGCTTTTATCTTGCTCATTTTTCTGACCAGCAACTGCACGACAGTCCGCTCCTCTGGTGAAGATGCGTGACATGGAACTGATGTCCAGTTCAAGCCCGCTGCCCGCCGGCGCCATGAAGGCGACCAGCGCCCTTGACGCGGCATTGAACTTCCAAGACATGAGCGATGTTATTAACGGCAACTGCAAACCATACTCCATCGTGTCTGTGGTGGGCGTTGTGACAGGCGTCTTAATGCCCAGACAGACCAGGAAAGGTATGAAAGTCCGTGTATTCCATGTGGCTGTTCGTCGAGCAGCCCGTGCATGACTACTGTGCATCTTCTCAGATCCCCGCTCTAACATAGCAAGACTACAAAATGACTGTTAAACTGGTGGACAAGTCGCTGGAAACTATCAACAACACCCTGCATCTGCACATCTTCCAAGCCGACGTGAAGGCCATGCCAACGTTCAACCTCGCCGACGTCGTGGTGGTTAAAAGGACAAAGGTGCAAAAAGCCATGGGGTCGGACAACTTTTCGCTGTTGTCCAATTTTGCCACCATAATAGACGTCTACCGGGCGCGAACGGCGTCGCCAGGCAAGCTTGAGCATCATCACCAGTGGCTTGATCAGCCAAACCGCGTGCAGTACCTAACGCCCTCGTCGTTGGAGCACGGTTTCGCTGAATACCTTCACAAAACCATCAACAAGAACGCCCTTCCGTCCATACAATGTTTCGAGGCTGAAGCCGAAAAGTCACGACATATCCTGGACAAGCGGCGGGAGCTCAAAGACGTTGCCGACGGCATGTTTCAAGACATAATTGTGAATGTCGTTGCCGATCCGTACCATACCGGCTCCTGTTCCCTTCTCTGGGTGACAGACTACACGGAAAACTGCAACTTTCGAAACGTCGACGACTCCGGAGTGTCTCTCAACGAGTACCACCAGGTTGGCGACCAGAACAAATACCTCACAAAATTCGGGGGCCGCGAAACGCATCAGGTCAACCCACGTACTCTGTCAAATTGGTGCGGACCGGCTGGCCGCTTTAGTATGCTAGTTACGTGCTACGCGGAACACGCCAGCATTGTCAGCAAAGAGGTAAAACGGGGCTCCTGGGTCGAGTTGAAAAACGTTCACGTCAGGTGGTATGGCGGAATGCTAGAAGGCGTCATGCACGAGGACCTGGAATATCCAGAGCGCATAAAAGTGAGAACGCTCGAGATAGTCAATGGCGAAGCAGACGAAATGGACCCTCGGCTCCAAAATGCACTGGGGCGCAAGAAGGCCTTTATGAAGGCCAGGCAAAGGAACAGGAAGCGAAAGGCGCTGCCTGTCGCAGACGGGCCAGAAACGGGAAAGATTCCCAATGCGAGGCAAAGACGAAAGCTCACCCGATCCGCCAAACCCGCGCAGAGCACGTCGTCCGATGTACCGCTCACCAACCGGCCCAATGAAGCCATCCACTGCGAGTATCCAGACCGCGCCTTGACTTCGCTTTCCAGCATGTTAGACCCCAAACTGTATACAGTGCCCGGTCCCGAAAAGCTCCAGCTCCCATTTGCCAACATCAAATTCAAGACAAAAGTGCGCGTCGTGGATTTTGTTCCTACCAACCTAGCGGACTTTGCCGTCAAACGCTACATTTCAGACATCGACATGGTCAAGGACGACTCTGATTCTGATTCGCTATCCGAAGATGACGACCGCGGCAATGGGGCCCATTGTGTCTGGGAATGGCGCTTTGCGCTGTGTTTAGAAGATGCTTCCTCGGCGAGAAATGACAACGACAACGACAAGGAAGATAACAGCAGCGGGTTGCCACCGACACGCTGTTGGGTATTTGTCGACAATTTTCACGGCCAGATGCTGCTTCGCAGTGAGGCCAGCGACCTGCGGGCGACCAAGGAAGCAACCAGAAACCTGCGCGAGAAGATGTTCCATATGTGGGGCAACCTGGAAGAGATAAAGGCTGACGCAAAACGGCGGGCGAAGTTTACAGTGGAGGCCACTAATATCAGGACCAAAGCAGCGGCCCAGCAGAAGGAAGACCTGGAGAAAGCTGCCAGGGTGGCCGCGAAGAAGCGGGATCGGGAAGAGCAGAAAAAGCAAGCTGCACGACAGTACCACGAGACAAACCGCAAGGAAATCGCCTTTAACGGGGGCAACATGAAGCACTACAAGCAGCCAGAGGACGACAGCGACGACGACGAGGACGACAACGGCGGCGGCGGCGGCGCAGAGGCCAATAATGCAATGAACACGGGCAACAGCAACGATGCTACACAGGCGCCAGTGCAAACGCCAGGACTGAGTCCCGACCAAGTAGCGCGGCTGACCGAAATAGCAAGGGAGCTGGAAAAACCAGTAGCCCAGCTGACGAACCGGCCGTTTGTTTGCTGTCTGCAGCAGTACGGCGTCCGCAACACCGTGTATGACAATGTTGAGGACGAAGAGGATGACGAATGCGAGTACACCTGGCAGCGAACGTTTGGCATGTTCGGAACTACGATCCGAGGCTGAGGCAGCCATTCGCGATTGATGTTCCAACTTTCTTCACGTCTCTTTTTGCATCACGCGTGTTTGGCGGAGTTTCTATACCCGAAAACGGCCTCCCTGGTTCATGTATAGCATTTTGCTTTTCCTTCTTTTTCTTGTTTCACTTTCGACAGCCCACATGAGCATTTGATATTTCCTCCTTTGTAAGCTATTTTGGGGTAAGGCATTAGGTACATTAAATGCAACACAACGGCCAACCATGGCTTGGCGTATGGTGAATTGCAATCGGTATGTTTTTTATACTTGTTTATACTTGTGTCAGTCGCTTTAACAGTTTCGTCGTAAAAGGGCAAAACGTGAAAGGATGAGAAAGATAACACAAAAGGTGTAAACACTGACCTACAATCGTAAAATGGCACATGTCCACAAAAGACATAGAGACACGGAGGAACTCAAACAGATGGTGAGGAATGAAGACAGAAAACGAACAGAGAAAAAATCGCGGCCACATCCTCAAACATAAAAGAAGACAAAAAGGTACAGCATAGATGTAAAGAAAACCGTAGAGAACCCCGGCCCATCCGATGGCAATCCATGTCCGACACTCCGTCCTCTGCAAAGTTCAGCATTATACACGACGCACAACAATTGGTTTTTTTGCTCCTTCCTCCTTCCTCCTTCAGTCGCCGAGGATATCTTCATCCTCATCCATGCCTTCTGCCTTGTCATCGTCCTCCTCCTCTTCGTCGTCCAGGCCTTGGTCGATCAACTCCCTCCGCCGCAGATCCTCCACCGTGCCCTCCTCTGGCTCGGGCGTGTCCAGCAGATCGTCCAGCTCGTCGTCGTCCAGATCGGCGGCCGGCGTCGGTGCTCCCAGCAGCACCTCTTCGTGTGTCGCGCCAGGCGTCGGCGCTGACAGGGCGCCGCCGGCATCGGCAGTGCCTGGCCGATCCGACGCCGCGGCGGCCTCCTTGCCTTTGGTGGCGCCGCCCCGGGCCGCGTGGCCGCCCTTCTTGCGGCTGTTGGCCACCAACAGCTCGCCGGCCTTGTTCTCGTCAAGGAACGCAACAATCTCCTTGTAGCTGTGGCCAAGCTTGGTCTGGTTGCGCAGCAGCCGCCGCTTCAGCTTGCCGGCAAAGGGGCCCGAGTGGTCGAGCACGCGTGCGACAATAGCCATGACGTAGTGGCTCGTCAGGTCGCACAGCGCGCGCTCAGCCTTGAGTTCAGCAGCCCGGCGCTCCTCGATGGACGTGTCCTCGTCGTCGTCGTCATCATCATCATCCTCGTCCAGCGGGTCCTCAATCGGGTCTTCGTCGTCGGCCGGGTCGTTGAGCGTCTTCTTGGCCTTCTTGGCAAAGCTGCGTTCGGCGGCGTCGAAAATGGACACGAGCTCGCTGATCAGGCCGGGAGGCACCTGGTCAATGAGGCGACCGAGGCTGACATACCGCGCCATGACGGCCGGGCGGTCCAGGTTCTTGCGCAGCTGGGCGAAAAGCACGTGCAGGTCGCAGTAGGCGCCCGTGGCGTACAACCGCAGATCGTCGTTGTAGCCGCGAGACGAGAAGGTGTGGACGACGTTCTGGTCGAAAGCCCGCTTCAGAATGGCCAGGTTGTCAACGACCGGATTGGAGATATCGGCCTTGGCGTTCACAGCGAGAACAAGCGAGCGCATCTTCCACATAAAGTAGAACTGGCACGCGCCAATGGCGTTGGCCGTAAGGCCATCCTCAATGTTGTCGAGGTCCTCGTCCGGCTCCTCAAACTTGCCGCGGTGGACCGTCTTGACGAGGATCTCAATAGCAGGCGACTCGGACTCGGCGTTGGCCGTGCCCCTTGCCTCGAGGATGTCGACCGAGTCGGAGATGGCAGCCAGCTTGTTGATCTTGAAGAGAGTAACCGACAGTTGGGAGGCCAGCGCGGGGCTCAGGCTGCGGCGCGCCGACAACTCGCATGTCCGGTCAAAGTTGCGCAGCGAGTTGATGGTCGTCTCCCAGAGCGAAGACACCCGGCTGTCGACAACTTCCTCAAGCTCTTCGTACTGGCGCGCATGGAGCAGCGCGGCGGCCGCCTCGGCCACAACGGCGGTATCGGCATGCCGGGTGAACTGCGTGCAAATTTCGTCCAACAGACCCTCAAACGTGGCGGTGTCTTGCCGCAGTTGACGGAAGACCTCCAGATTGAGAGAATGCTGGAGGCGCAGCACGGTCACCGCTGTCGCAGGCTCGGCGCCAAACTTGCGCAGCAGCTGCGGGATGAGTGTGGCCAGCTGAAGGGCAGCCGCTTCAGAGGATTCGGCCGCGGAAAAGGCGCCCGTGGCCGCCGACGCGGGAGCAGCATCGGGCCGGCCAAAGCGCTTCTTGAAGCGCTCACTCTCACCACCTGGGGCCAGGCTGGCCTTGGCTGCCGCTGCGAGGATCTCGAGCAGGATGGCCTCCTCGTTGTCCCCAGGTGCGACGGCAACGCGGAATGTCGCGTCGGCTGTGCGTGTCTGCTTGCGGCCGCCACGGCCCTTGACCTGGTCCACGCTGTGGTCGTACAGCAGATAGCCGGCCAAGATCTCCCAGTTGGTGATCTCGGGAATCTTGTCCACGAGGACCTGCGTGGCGAGGGCCAGCCGGCTCGTCTCGGGCACGACGGCGCTGGCGACCTCGGCAGTCACGTCCAGGCTGGATACCGTCGGCTCTGTCCGCTGAGCGCCGAGTTGAGTTTCGTAGGCCGACACGGTGTTGGCCAAGCTCTTGACGTTGATCCAGTCGCGCCGCGGCGCATCAAAGTCGCCCGTCTTGCTCTGGCCCTTGCCGAACAGCTCGTACATGACCTCTTCGCCACCGACCTCGTCGAGCTTAATGGACGCGAACTCACGGACACAGTCGGCGAAAAAGTTGACGGCGGCCCTTCGTATCCGGATCTCGGCGTCAAAGATGAGCTGGCCGATGGAGTCGATCTCGTCGGGTTCCAGCAGACCAGCTGGGCGAAGCTGCTCCACGACGGCAATGGCAGAGACACGGACACTGATGTCGGCATCTTTTGTTGCCATCTCAATGAGGCGCGCGCGGAAACGGTCGATAAAGTGGCCCATCTTGCTGGCATCGCGCTTGAAGACGCGTACGAGCTGCTTCAGGACCTCCTGGCGTGTGGCCGGGTAGCTGTCGGAGAGCATCCAGCCAAGGTACCGCAGGTACTCGGGCTGCATGTAGACGGCAGGCAGCGCCCAGACCCAGGAGCCGAGAGCCTCGACACACTCTGTGCGGATGCGCGGGTCGACGTCGCGGTAGCGGTGGACGAAAACCGTGTCGAAGAACTCCTTCATCAGCTCGGCGGCGCGCTCACGGTTGCCACCAGCCTCGCGCAGGGTGTTCTCCAAGGAAACAAGACGCGGATCCTTGCTCTTGGACTTGCCGTTGCGGCTCCTCTGGTTCTCGACTTGCTGGGTCAGTTTGTTGATGCGATCGTCCAGCTTCCTAGCTACCGTCACGAGTGCAGCCAGCATGGCGAGGGCCACGGTAGTCGCGGTGTGCCGGAAGGGTCGGAGGGTGGAGGAGGACAAGGATGCGACCCAGCGCACGACGTTTTCCATAATCTCGGGTTGTGTGTAGAGCATCTCGGTCTCGTGGAGGACGCTGATGAAAGAGTGGAAGAACTGTACAAGCAGTTCGCGGAATGACCGCGTCGTCCGCGACTTGGCGATGAGCGGGTAGTCGGTGATTTTTTGCTACACTGTGTCAGTTTACCGGCAACTCAACGTGGTGCATCGTTGTACCGTTTGTCTCCCGCGCTGCCATCTTTCGTGCAACTCACATCTTCGTAGATGCCCTGCAGCTCTGTCAGACGGTTCGAGCAGTTGTCTGGGTCGTTGATGTCGTCTTCCGTTACGTGGTAGTCGCAGCCGGCTGCCGAGAGAATGCAGTTGACCAGGTCCGCCACGGCGGCCTGGTTGTTGGTCTGATACCGCTCGTACCAGCGGCCAGCCACGTCGTCACTATCGTCACCAGAAGAGAAAATGTCGGCTGTAGAAGGCGGGTTGTCAGATCAGACCGCTCTGTCAAAAACACACACAATAGTATACCGCAACCCCCACTCGAAAACGTACCGTACAGCGCGCTATCATGGTCGGCGTCGGTCTCAATCGTCACGCGCACCGACTTCTTCGGACGGCTCGGTAGGCTGGCGGCATGATTGCCGGCGCCGTTGAGCTTGGGCTTCTTGATTGCGCGTCCTGCCGTTGACGCTCCATTGGCCTTGCGCTTTGGCCGGACGCGTCGGGGGTTGGCCTCGCCGTCATCGCCGTCATCGTCGTCGCCGTCTTCGGCGTCCACGTCGTCTATGTCGTCGATGTCGTCGTCGTCATGGCCACCGTCGTCACCTGGACGTTTGCGCCCCTCGACGACCTCTGGAAGGAACCGAGCAGGAGCCCGCACGACGCGTCCGGATCGGCGCTGGGAGGCAGCGTCGCCGCCGCCGGCCGAGTCATCTAGTACGTCGGCCATAGATTTTCGCTGAGGTCGTCGTACTTTTGGTTTGGCTGCGCTGGTTCGTCTTCGGTCGCCGCAATGGCCAGGAGGCAAGAAGAGGGGATAGGAGAAACACGGGACGAAAAGGTTGGAAGTGGGACGCGACGGACGCGAAACCAATTCAATTAACAGTGGACGAGGGGGAGGGGGGCCGCAGTGTGCGATGAAAGCCCGAAAGGAGAAAATGGAGAATGAATTTGAGAATGGGGAATTCCCGGAATGTCAATAATCAATAATCAATGAAGATGATCTGCTCACGGGCGTCGCGTTGTCGCGCGCATAATAGAATGGAAAAAAACACGCCGTGGCTGTTGGGTGGGCAAGGTATGTATTAGGGGCGCGTCGAAGAGCGTGTTGGCGGTCGGAGGTTGTTGGGCAAAGGAAAAGGGTCGTTCAGAGGATTGCAGTGGGGGAAAAACGAACGGTGGTGATGTGATGCAAGCTCCTTGTGGCCTCGAAAAAGCAAAAGGGGAAATGGTTCCAGTTTCCAAAACAACACGAGAATCAAGTTAC